TAATAAGTTATATAAATGGTGTTTAGACTGAGACTTTGTTACAAATTGAAGCAGAAATAACACTTATATGTAGTAATTCATTTAATGACCAAAATAAAAATGTCTACAGAAAGATAAGGATATAATTTTCTACAATAGTAATGAATAAACATAGTTTAATCTTTAGTGGAACAAATCAACTGATAAAGTTCAACAGGAAAATTATTGTATATTATGAAGAGAATTAAAAAATCACCATTTTCAGAATGAATATGTGTTATACAATGTGTTGATTATAGAAATGAATTAGCAATAAGTGTTTTACTTATAAAGTTACAGAAATTGCAAAAAAGTATGTTATGCAAGTTATATATAGAAGCAAAAACTATAATCAGTATATTGAATGTGATAGTAAGACTATCCAGCTCAGAAACAGAATAAAGTATGTCATGCAAGTTAAATGTAGAATAAGAAACTATGAACAAAAGTTGAGACTAAATGAAATATGTATGTTGTCCTATGGAGCTATAGTAACCCTCTCTGCGTATAGAAACATCATATGCCTTTGTAAAACACATGTAATAAAGCAAAACATATAAATGAAAACTATAAACATAAGTTGAGTCATGTTGAAATCTCTATGCAATTCGACAGAAGTATAGTAACATTGTCTGCCTTTGCAAAACACACACACAACATGTCTTGTAAGATCACCCACCTATAAAGCCTTAGTTTCACCGTCTCCCTAGTAACACCATAAACGTATAGAACCTTAGTAACACCAACCGCCTTTGTAAAACATATGCAAGTGAAAACTATAAAGTAACTGTCAACATGTGTAAAATGAAATAGTTTGTAAAGAACTCATTTACTGTTATACACAATACAAATCATAATAATATATGTAGAGGAATAGCATAACAATATATTTAATCCATAAAGCCACACTAGTGTAACAGTATGATTGTATGTTAAATTATTACACGATATTTAGAGACATTATCAGGAAAAATCCGTCCTTTTTAAATTTTGTAAAAAAGTATACTAGGCAAATATGATAAAATATTATTGGTTAATCGACGATCCTACGAACTATGCTAACTTTGTCCTTAGTACTATCATCTGCCTATAGTAACACTATCCACCTATAGAAACATCATCTGCCTTTGTAAGACGTACACAATATATAAGGGAAAAATATAGAGTTGATAACATTAAAATAGTAGATTTTAATGTTTGATTATAAAGTGAAACTGTAAATACAACATAGGACAAATTAGATTAAATTATTAATTGTAAAACTTTGATTGTTATTACAAAGTTACTATAATGTGGTCCCCCTCTGTTGGTTTGCTCACGAAGTATCTGCGCGCTCATCATACCAACGCGCCCTCTAGTACTACTTCGTGGACGTCATCACCCCCTGGTGTGTATTACATAATAGCTATGTAATCCCCAGGTGTATATATTACGGATTAGTTATGTATCCCTCAAGCGGCATCCTTTGATCTCCACTAACATGGCGATCTCACACCGAAGCAGCATCCTTTGGGTGTCCAACAATCGAAGTAACTATATGGTAAGGCTGTGGGTCTCAAAGGCAAATATAAGATAGCCTTATTTTTCTAACAGGGTGGTTGGCCTTTGGAATAGGTTGTCTTTGGTGCCCAACAATTGGGGTAACTACATAGTAAGGCTGTGGGTCACAAATGCAAATGTAAGATAGCCTTACTTTTCTAACAGGGTCGTTGGCCTTTGGAATAGGTTGCCTTCAGATGTGGTAGATGCAATTAATTTTAAGAGATTTTAAGGGAAGACTTCACAAATATTTGAATGATAAGAGCTGTATTTGAGTGTTTTTACTTTAGATCTTAGTGTGGTGGATGGGATGACCTAGATGGATTAACATGTTTCTTTGTGTCCTTATGTTATATGCATGTGTAGGTATATCTATTCCCACGATAAATGTGTTGTCTGGGCTTTGTCTTTAGGGAACACCCGTTAAACCAGTTTTAAATTGAATATTTACTTGCGATTTGTGACAAAATCACTTTGAATCAAATACAAAAATGTTGGTGGCAAGGTGAAGTGTATAAACATAGAAGTTTAAAACATTTGTCCCATTGATGAAGAATAATAGGCATCACGAATATGCATATATATTTGAAATAATATTCGCAAACGTATAGGTAAGCTACAACAGATTGACACAAAATCAAAATTTCCTTAATTTTGTTTTAAATCCGTAACTGTTAACAATTTTATTTTCACGAAAAATGAATTGAGTTAAATACAAAGCAAATAATAACCATGTAAAACTTATAAAACATTTTTCGATGAAGGATTATTATGGTGGTATGTCACTCTATGGCCTATACATTGTTTTAGGTTAGACCGTAAATTAAGCTTAGAAATAGAGAACTTTATAAAAAATAAGTGAAAATTGTTGGTTACCTTAGCTGTTGCAACTCATTTGATATAAATGAAAATATGCTTATAATACGAGGCTTATTGTCTTAGTTTTACAACGTAGCTTTCAAAAAACTTCAGTTGTGTTTAAATAAACAACAACAACAAACGGAACGGCATATAAAGTTCGTTAAACCAAAAATCTTATTTACTTTATAGCATTATTTTGTATGAAAATTGTGTTTCAGGAGTCTCCTATCGTCTCGTAGCAACAGTATTAAGAGAAAAACACAAACGAAAGCTTACTGTAAACACCCTAGTAACATTTGAAGAATATATGGTCATAGCTACCATGGCAACGAACATTTGTTTCGAACCAGTAAAGAAATGCAGTAGGCTCTCCGAACGTGATAACAGTCATCTCGTGGAATGCTCATACCATCACAGGGAAACATTTTAGCCTTGTCAATATCGTTGAAAGGACTCACGAGGTATTTCATATGTTGTTGAATGAAGCAGACTGCAAACTTTGTTCGATATTCAGGTATTATTGCTGAGTTTTGCTCAATAATCTTTGTCAGCATATTTCATTACTTGTTAATTCCAGAGTTGAAGCATTTGTTTTATTTTTGCTGTAAAATCGTATAATTTTTAAACATGTATTGTTAAGACTTTAAAATATCGAAGTAATGTTTTCTTTTTAAGCAGTATTTGCTTTAGTTCGAATAGTTAAAGAAAGACGTTTAAACTAAATGAACTTTCAGAATTCTTCAGAATATGTTTTTTTTACATTTGAATTCCAAATCCAATATTTACATTAAAAAATTCTGAATTTTAAAATGCTACAGTTTGTAACCACTACACCAGGAAGTTATGCACCCAGTTGCCGAATTACAACTATTTTAAAATCACTATCATTGTGAATCATAATTTTGCATCTTGTGAACGAACAACTCACATATGTGTTTCTCTGTACAATAACAATTAAAGCAGATTATTTCTGCTCTGCGTTCCGAACATAGTTCCTCCAGAACTAAAAAACAGATCATGCTCTGAGTTTTTATTAAATTAATTTGAGGAAAAACTTGCAGAGTAATATATTATAGAGCTTTTTAAAATCTTACTTTTTGCTCAATTTCTCAAGATTTTCAGAGGGTTAATTTCGAATTTAAGTTTGTTATGCGTAAACAACGTCCTAGCAATTAATGTGTTGTGCCTACGTAGAACTATATAAAATCGCTTTTATGCGCACAATTGTTTTTAATATTAGCTATATGTTTTACTCAAAAACATTTGAATGAATTTTTAATCATATAAATACTTTAATTTATCTATAATTCATTTCCACAGACAATCGCTAATTCTTTCTCGGACTTGTGGATCAAGATTTTGCCATAGAACTCTCTAAGCTGTGAAAAAGCTTCTAATTCTATATTGTAAAATTCAATCTTTTAATGTATACATTTATTTACCAGAGTATAAAACATAATGATGTATGTACAACTGAATATTTTGTATACTCAGCTGATTAAAAATATATCATTGTGGTGTCTGTGTTCTCATTTTAAAAATATGACATAGCGAAATAAAATGGCGCGATATACATTAAACCAATAACTTGAAAGTCTTAACTTATCGGTGACAGCTTACAGAAATTATGAGAAGAAAATAAGTGATGAGTTTGAGTGTGCGGTGATTTTGTGTGGAATGATACAAAATGGCGTATATGTGTGTATGTGTGCGTGTGTGTGATGTTCATATTGTGGTCAGTGTGAAAAACTGAAAAACGAAATGCATGAAGGTCACTTTCATCCCAGAATAAAGCATTCAACCAAAGGTAAGTAAACTGGAACGTCTTCACCGAAGAAAGATGTTTATGGGTAAGTTAGGTAAATATGAAAAGTAAAACTTTCTCCCACAGAGAGCTGGCAAAGAGGTCTTTCGATTCATCTTCTTGATTTCAATGTTTAGCAACAACTACTACCCCTGCGATAACAACTACAACTGTTTCTTCTACCAAGACCACAACTGAAGCTTTAAAATCCACAACAACAATGTGGTTGTGGTTCCTGTAGTAGTTGTTTCAGTATCCGAAGTTTCCTGCTTTGTTGAAGTCGATACAAACTGAGTTGTTGATGGCGGAGTTTCTCGAGACGTTGTTTTGGTCACCTGGACTGATGAGGTTTTATCCGACGTACTCGTTGTCTTCGTTGAAGTTTGAGCGTTAGTATTACTTGTGAGGATAGTTGTCGTTATAGCTGCTGTTGATGCAGGAGTTGTAGTGCTTGTCGATGTTTGTTTTGTAGTTTTGGTACTCGCTGATGTTTGGGTTGTAGTTTTATCACTCGTTGATGTTTGGGTTGTAGTTTTAGTAGTAGTCGCTGGTGTTTGGGTCGTAGTTTTAGTAGTACTCGCTGGTGTTTGGGTCGTAGTTTTAGTACTCGCTGGTGTTTGGGTCGTAGTTTTAGTAGTACTCGCTGGTGTTTGGGTTGTAGTTTTAGTACTCGCTGGTATTTGGGTTGTAGTTTTTGTTGATATTTGAGGGGTGGTAGTAGTATTAGGCGAAGCCGCAGCTGTCGTAGATTCTCGAGTTGTAGATATAGGAGAAACCTGAACCAGTTACCACAACTGTGCCTCCTCCTCCTCCAACAGTTCCACCAACTGACTCTAATGGTAGGTTTGGAATAATTTATGTTTCTAAAACTGTTTTGTTATAACTAAATATCTATAGTATACGTAACATTGTGAATCAAAGTTACATGAATCCTACTATGTATTGTAAATTTTGTACAATGTATCTTTGAAGTAAGTTCTTAAAGCTTTCAAACTTATATCAATGTTAAAATATTTGACTGTTAAAGCTTTCAAGTTTGTATCAATGTTAAAATATTGACTATTAAAGCTTTCAAGTTGATATCAATGTTAAAATACTGACTGTTAAAGCTTTCAAGTTTATATCACTGTTAAAGCTTTCTGTGGGGCAATACTTTAAGTCATCTGGCGGCGCTTAACTAATTGTTTTTTTAAAGTATGATAATATTTTGATACGAAATGAAATATACATGTAAGTTTAGAATCAAAAGTCTCATTCTACTTACAGCTGTCAGACTACACAATGGTAAACTAAAATAAGTTGTTTCTTACTGTGACTTCCTGCATATCACTTATATTTCTTGATATATATAATGAAAAACTAACTATAATATGTTGTTTCTGAAGTTTTAACTAAAAATTCTAGTCCATCATTATTAAATAGGACATTATTAAATAGCACGTAAAAGAGCAATTTTGTATTTCTTAACGCACAGAACACTCTGCATCACACTTCTTAGTTACAGAATTTAAACTTTAATTGCTTGCTAACTATGATGACAGTACAATTTCCCAGAATGTTTTTTACATATGTGTGGGTGTATGTATATATATAATGATTATTTAAGTTTAGATTGCTTGTATACATTTTTCCTTCTTAATTTTTTAAAGTAAAATAATTTTCGAAAACATAATGCTACAATCAGATTAAACACACACACACACATGTATATATACTTGCTTTAAACAAGTAAATATGCCCATCCAAAAGAAAAGGGATGAACAAAGCAAAAATACAAGAACGATAGTAAGGTTTTTGTTTGTCTGTTCGTTTGTTTCCGATACTCGCGCGAAACGACACAAGGGCTATTTATGCTAGTCGCCCGTAATTTTGAAAAGTTAGACTAAAAGGAAGGCAGTTAGTCAACAACACCCACCACCAACTCTTGGGCTACTCTAACCAAATAGTTGGATTTGACCGCGACTCTTATAACGCACACATGGCACCAAAGAGCGGAACGCGACTTTTTTCGGAAACAGAACACGAACCATGGACCCTTGATTCACAGCTAAGCACGCTAACAACTGGACCACGTCCGACCCTTGATAGTATGGAAGGAGCAATAAAAAAAGTAATATACTTTTCTTGTGGTTAGACAAGTACCTGCATGAAAGACCTTCCATGACATTTGCAAATGATGTAGAGGAAAGCAATTTTAGTTTGAAGTAGCATAAGATGCAAAAAATGTACATATAATTAGTTGGACACTCTCGCTATTAGAGATATTTTTGACCTGAATACCAATAATATTTCTCAAGGTTCGACCAGCTTATGAAATTTAAGTTAGTCCCAAATATATATATATATACTAAGTAAAAATGCAAAATAATACTCTTAATAAAAATAATTAACAAATAAAATTCAAAAAGATAAACATTAAACAATTTAACCAATAAAGTAACATTAAATATAGAATAGAATTTACAAAACACATAAAATTTAGTTATTTGCCTTTCACCGACTTCTGTTCCCTTATAACATAAACATACAAATTTGTTGCATGTTAAACTACTAAAACGTTTCAGCAGGATAGTATAACTGTTGTCAACATTATGGATATATTTTGGATGCATGTTTTCTAATCTCTCATATTTTTTAGATAATGAACTTTCCTATATTTGTAGTTGCCTAACATATCGTCTGTTTGTACGCATATCATTAATCTTCATTATTTGTCCTATTTATAAAAAACAACAACAATATTTGCTTATAAAACTACACGATATCATAAAATATTGCATAACCTGTTTTTAATCTTTATAACAGGCACAAGAAAAGGAAATGCGTTTTTTTTAGTATGCGACTTTTTACGAAGTGTTCATTGACTTAAAACAATTCGTAGAGTGAAAGTACATTTTCAGAGCAAAGTAGCAGCAAGATATCATCTAACTTTTTTCTGTTGCTTTATATGTTTTATTGTAAAACCTTATTTTCTTCCATTTTCAAAGTCTATTATCTTTCACATATCAACTATCAGTATATTCTTTTATATTTAGAAGGTATAGCAATAACGATATCAAACGAAAACTACTCATCCGATGAACATTAAAAAATAACAAATTAATGGGAATTCATTAAACTGTTTTTGGAAAATAAATTGGAGAAATAAACATCACGAGACAATGTAAATTAATTTCTGGTTGGCATTCGACAAAAAATGAGTCTCACTATGACGTCATACTAACAGTAATTCTAATATTTTGGTAAATGTATAGTGGTTTAAAAGACAAATGTTTTCAAGACATGGAGTGTTGAAATATGGGATGTTTGGTTATGATGTAACCACGACTTTACTATTTCTATATACCTAAGACATGACATCTTCTTTTCTATGATTTTACAGACACCAGATACGAAGTTACAGCTAATTACCACATCCCCAATCTTAAAGAAAACGGTACAAATGCGGTGCCACAAAAAGTTCCACTGTTATCTCACGGGCCTCTTGGGTTCGGATACAGTGTCAAAATGGAAGAATCGTGTTTGAAGTTTGAAAACTTTGAGCACGAAGGAGACGAGGACTGCTGGAAAAACCCCTCTAATTGTAACAAAGGTGTATCTCTTTCTATCTGGGAACGAATCAGTTTTCAGCGGAATGATTCCACAAGACGATATATTCTCAGCACTGGTAAGTTGTTTTTTGAATTTCGCGCAAAGCTCCTCTAGAGGGCTACCTACTCTAGAGGTTATCTACTCTAGAAGGTTGTCTACTCTAGAAGGTTGTCTACTCTAGAGGGTTATCTACTCTAGAGAGTAAATCTACTCTAGAGAGCTACCTACTCTAGAGGGCTACCTACTCTAGAGGGTTATCTACTCTAGAAGGTTGTCTACTCTAGAGGGCTACCTACTCTACCCTTCCCTAATTTTTGAAGTATTAGATTTTTGGCATCACTCGCTGTCAACTTGTGGGATACTCTAATCGAAGAGAGGAGTTTGTCTGTCAATTTTATGATACACCCGCGGCTGCAAAGTGTGAAGCACGATTTTACTTTTTGTAGTAAAGGGGCGCGAACAAGGGAATCTTGGATGCACAGCCCGCAGCGCTTACCATTGAACCACACTCGGCCAATACTGATAAGTTCGAGTTTCAAATTTTGGGATGATGGTCACTGCCACTATAGTTACTCTCACCGGGTATAACAGAGGTATAACTTACCAAAAAAAATAGAGAGAGGCTTATTAAAAATATGAAACAAAGTCATCTTTTAATGGTGTCTGACAATGATCTTATACATCAAAACAAAATTCTCGTCAGTGTTTTACTTGATGTTTATAAGCTTAACTTTCGTTGCTTTCTTTTCACTTAAGAACATATATATATGTTTCGAAATAACAGAGATAGAGGAGAATAATTTGTCTTGTGTTCTAAAGTAATTGAATCTGCATGTATGGTCTTTGATGAAAAGGAGACAATTATTTCATGCTCTGAATACAAATGTGATAACCAACAGTTATAGTGGTGATTTTGAATTAAGTTTCACAGTTTGTATTGTAACAACAGAGATATAGAAGAATAATTCGTTTTGTCAGGTCTGGCAAGAGCCCAGTTAATGCTTGAGCGAGCCTTGATAAATTTTCGATAAAGGAACAAAAGTCATAAAAACTAATTTGTTAAAGTAGGTGTTGTGGAAACAAATAGTCAGCAAGCTGACAGAATCACGTGTTACTATGCAAATAAGTAATAATATAATATAACTTAATTACATACAATTTAATATAATTTTATACATTGCAATGTTAGAACAACATGCACATCTTTTGTCACACTCTGAGGCAGTTACTGTATACACAGGTACAAAGGGACCAGGCCAAGTTGCGCTTTTTGCAATGTGACCATGCCTTACTGGCATCTTTAAAAGCTTGTCTACATCTCTGACTTGCTTAATGATTTAATGACTGTAAGGTTTATATTTATGAACATTAATGCTGGTCATTATCAAACATTACTGGTTTGTTTATTATGGAAGTTAAAGCTTAATGTGTCATATAATCACAATCATGGAGGAGGCACTCCTGTAGCGCATTCTTTTATTTAAGATTTTTCTAGAAATTTGTATTGTATAGCTGGAAGGAAGGCAAATGTACTGAGCCGTGATGGGCTTAGTTTTAATGTTTGAAACTTTTTCCAAAATGTAGTAAATTATTCAAGCCATACAAAAAAACAAAACAAAAAACTTTGGCTAGAATTAGTGCAACTTCATGAAGGGAAGGAAGAAAGGTAACGATCTCACATACTAAATTACCTAGATTCTGAACAGAAGAGCCAAGTGCCTTACAAAGTAACTAAAGAGCCAAATAACTTACAAATTAATTAATGCAAAGTAACTGAAAAAGTAAAACTTTCATCAATATTTTTAGTGGATGAAAAATAAAATGAAATATTATTCTATATGAAAAATATTAAGTTTCAGGACTTAACAAATATTTGATATTTTGTATTTATGCATAAAACGATTTTATTATTATTATGGCAAATAATCACCAACTGGGCAAAATTGCCTAAAATTTCACCTCCATTCCCTATTTTTACCAGGCTTGGAACTGATTACTGAATCTTTGAGCAACTTACTGAGCTAACAAGTTTACTATTCAGTTAATAATAAGAAATCACTGCATGGTCTAATTATCTGACTTTTACTCTAAACCAGTTAGTTAAATAAATGGTGTAAATATTGAGTTTCTGTTTCGGCAAAGAAATAGAGATAATAAATTGGCATGTTAGGTATTAGAATTTCAAATGGTCTGAAACCGAGTTAACTGATAATTTAAATTTAGTAGTTAAGTTGTACTTTGGATTTAGTATTTAACTATATCCCGATAAATAGTCAGCTTATGATATTTGCGAACAAGATTGATACACATAGTTTTCTTTTTTTAAACACAAATACGTTTCGATATACACACAGCAATACAATTTACAATAACAGTTATTAAAGATAGTTATTACAAACAATGATTTATAAACAAAGGTTTCACAAAATTACAAGCAATATAAAGTCTTCTTTCTAGTCTGGAACTTCATTAATATCTTATTGAGGGTTCACGATGAGCGAGTTGATTACGAGTTGACATAGGCACAGTTCACTTCACGGGAAGCTAGCTAGCTTTGTCCTTCGTTATTTATCAGCCACGCACGCACCGGGTTTTCCACCGTGACGTTATGTAATGTTTTCGTAAAAATACCAATGTCTGATGAGAATTCATTGAAGTTAAATGATTTGTAATATTCGAAC